CCCCCCCCCCCTCCCCGGTCCTGTTTCACTTTGCATTTTCGCGCCTACTTAGTAAGGTCGAAAAGAGAAATGGATGGAAGCGAACGGATGATCGGGCAGCCATTAAGGCGAATCGTGGAGCTAATCGCTGTCGTTGATGGGACATGGGACTGCTCCAGCGGAGTCCGCTGGTGAGTGGCTCGGCTGACACGTCACAAGTGAAACACTTTTTTAAGCTGAAGAGCGTTTCGCCAAGAGTGCACTTAAGGACAGATGCAGTTTGCTACTACATCCGCAGACACCGTTGTGAGACGGATGATAGAGGAATGGATTTCTGATGGAAATGAATTCATTAAAATAAAATAATGTATGGAATTACGCGGTTTCTACGTTAACGTAGCGGACGAGTGCCACGTAAGAGCTACGAGATATAGTCTTCACCCAACGAGCACTAATTACGAGCTTCAAGATTACCTGCTTCCTAGTAACGAAGGTCTACCTTTCAAGGGCAAAGATCGTGTAATCTAGAGGAATCGTTTCTCGTGGACGTGGATTGACGGATGATTGATGAGGGCTCACGCGGTGCCAAAGCACCGCCTACACGATTTTTATAATTAAAGACCGGGATACTAATAGTTATTTTGTTATCTCTCTCTTATACACCGAGAGTATAAGGAAGAATTCGTATTAACCCTTCCAAGATGAAAGAAATGAAGTATTGAATTAAATTAATTTTATATTTTAATTAAAAGCTTTAATTGATTTTTCAAAGTAAATTCGTACACAAATCAGCAAAAATAACAATTTTATATTACCAATGATAAATATTGCAAAGAATATTACTGCGTCGATCTGTCATCAGAGGTCTATATCGATATTCGCAAATTCTCGTAAGTGCTTTAATACGCGTATATCTCTTTATATAGAATCTCAATTAAATAACTCTTGCAGGCGTATAAGGTATACTCTACAAAGCTTTTCTGATAGATTTTTAACTTAAATTATTGGCTCATTGCCTGTTTCTCTATATTAGTTGTTTTAAAAACATATTGAGCCTTATTACAAATGTACATTTATAATTTTAAATATTACACACACACACACACAAATATTTTAATAAATCTTTCCTAAGATATGAACATAATTGTATTTTTGAATTTCCTTTATATAAGATAAAAATTATGGCAAGGCGAATTTCACATTGAAAAATTATATTGCATTCTTGACTTAAAACATTACAGAAATTGGCGGTATTTTAAGTCAAATTTGACCAAGATCAAATAATATAGATCAGTTTAACAATTTCTGTTGCGCACTCGATGCTCTCATTCTCGCATAGCCGCTGCATTTAGTATATGCAAGGTGTTCTTTCGCTTAGCAAAAGAAGAATCAGAAAGCATTGTGTAGCCTACGGCAGACAAATTCATGCTAACGCATGAACCACATCAAACATCACGTATAAAGTTGATATTATAAATATATTCGCTTATACATAATGATTTACGTTTATATTTATGAAATTTAAATATGGAAACTTAAAATTTGTAAAAATTTACATTAACAAAGGTAATATATTTTTAGATATTTAAAAAATATACATATTGCTGCATTTTTTACAAGTCTTGTAAATTTTTACAAGTCTTACAAAAATTTACATTGATAAAGGCAATATATTTTTAGACATTTAAAAAATATACATATTGCTTTATTTTTTATAAGTCTTGCAAATTTTTACAAATCTTGCAAATTATTACAAAAAAATTTTATAAATATACAGGTAATTCATTTAAAAGCTTTTAAATACCTACATAAGTTGATGAATGAGTCATTAAACATATATGTGTATGATTTTGGGCAGCATAATGTAACGTATAAATTTGACTCTAAAATTAGTCTAATTAAAAAATAAGAGAAGTAATATTTCTATTGTTTCTTGTTATAAAAATATATAATTATTTTACCGTATAATGTTTATTCATGGACGGCATCATTACAATTACTGGAATTTTTTCTTTTGACTAATTGCTTTTGGTATAGTACTTCGAACATGAGCGTATTTTGGATTTTTCGTAAACTTAGGTCGATATTCGGAAGACTCCACTGGTTTATACGGTGAAAAATCCATACTTGATACTGAATTGTTTACGTTTGTAGATTCGTTAGATTTTTTAACAGGTGTGACTTTCCCAATTGCGCCAGTACTTTTACGTCTCTCGGAAATACATGTATTTTCTTTTGCGAGCTGTTTAGAAGAGTTTGATGTTTTAGAGGAAGTACTACTTGATCTGTGATTGTTAATCGATGTTTTGGTCTGAACTGAAACGTAGTCGGGACTGCGATGTCTATTTACTAAACATGATTTTTTAGCTTTTGCCGTTACTTCCCTTGGTGAGTTTGTCAATTGTGAAAATGATTGCTGTAAAATAAATAAATGTATGCGTAAAAAAAAATATTATTTTCAAATATTTTATCTCCAAATTATATTGCTTAATATTATTAATATTACTATCATTATTACTTCTAAATCATTCAGTTTTGTCATAATGTCCATAACAGACTTCCGTATTTCCTTTAATGATGTATGAAAAAAACCACTTGATAAATTAGACTTTCTTTCATTAAATGATACTTGACAAAGATCACTTGATAAATCTGTTTCACCAATCATTTCAGCATCTGTGAGATTTTTAAAAACGTCCTCATCGTTAGTGTCCTTTGGATTTTCTTCGCGAATAAAAGTATCGGATCTGCTAATGTTGGTGACGTAAATCGCAGGATTCGATTGTGAAATACACTATATATAAATGATAAATTGAAATTAATAATGTGCTACATGACCAGATAAAATTAATTTGCCAACTATATATATATATATAATTGACGAGAAATTTGACTTATATTTATGTATATATATATATAAAATTATGAAAGTCAGATTACTCATTAATCAGTGACAATAGATAATGTTTCAAAGAAATAATGCAATAACGAACTGTACCTTCTTAACGTTTTGTAATGTATTGAAAGAATTCTCTCGTTCTTTCTTAATATCTTTTAATGAGATATCAGAAAAAGAAGAAGAATCATCATCAGATTGAACATGTTGAGCATCTTGAGATCTAAATATAAAACTATTGTCATAAAAAACATAAATACTAGAATCATTTTAGGACCGTACAATTGATAAACAAGAAGAAGGAAGCCAATAACGGTCAAAGCTGGATCACAGTGCTTATTATAATTGTGTGAATTTTATATACTGCGTATGTACTTTAGATAAATATTGCTACTTTAGATAAATATTGCGAAGAATATTACTACGTCGACCCGCCATCAGAGGTCTATCTATGTTTGCAAAAATTCTCGCAAGTGCTGAGATACGCGTATATCGCTTTATATAGAATCTCGATTTAATAACTTAAACAGGCGTCTAAGGTAGACTTCCACTACAATGCCTTACTGATGAGTCCAGTAGTGGAAACCGGGACGAAACGCCAACTTGTGATATTCTTTGCAATCTTATTTTTCACAAATTTAGATTTATCATTACTTTAACATTACATCGTTAAATTTTAATATGTCTTTCAATATATTATTAAGATCTAATAAGATGCTATAAGCATCAAAATTGTTAGATTACTTGTCAATTTAACTAAGTGATATTACTGCGGTAGTAAGTATGTATGCGTCAATGCTGAAAAACTATCAGCGTCGCAATTCTTGGGGGACTACATACGCAGTATATAAAATTCACACAATTATAATAAGCACTGTGATCCAGTTTTGACCATTATTGGCTTCCTTCTTCTTGTTTATTATTGTTTATAAAAAAACATATATTCATAAAGAAAAAATCGTTAGACTATGTATTAAAATTTCAAAATAACCTGATTATATCTTGAATCTTCGGTTCTTGTTTAATTTGTTGGACCGAAATTTCTGAAGTGGTAACAGCGCTTGCGCTGTTAAACATTTCGAACAGATTATTCTTGTCATCAAAGTCCTTTTTTATTAATACCAGAAGCACATTATGTATGGTAGACACTATTTGTTTTTCGGTTAAAGGCGTCATAGTATTCGTTCCATCGTTCTGAAATATACGCGTAATAATCACAAATTACATGAAAAATTTCACAGTACGTGCTGTAACTTGTACTTGTTAAATACACGTACACACGAATAGAGTAACAGTCGTTATTTACGTGGACACTTATACCGACTACAATTTACTCTCGGTGATAAAATATGGTTCTTAATCGAACGAATACTTACATTCGGTGAAGAAGCTCTTATGTAACGATTGATTAAACGCGAAAACTCTTGCGCAAAGTTTAGCACACTCATTTTCAACTTTCTATTGCACGACCGTTCTGGATGATATACGGAAACAGACTAATTTCAAATAACTGCTCGATCGAGCGACTTTGTAACGACCTCCTGATATTTATTATTCACAGTAACGGCGGACTATGTTGATAATTCTTTCATACCTTTCAACGCGCGTTTTCGAAGAGTTACAAATATATTTCAGAAAAGAATGAACGCGATTTAATAATTAAATGTACTATATTTCTACGTACTTGCTTGTTACTTTCTTAAATTTTTTTCGCGACACAAGTGCCTTTCAATTATTGCATTTTCTTCAAACTGATTCTTTAATAAATACACGAAAAAATATTCGTCAGATAAAAAAATACTGAATTTTTCATTATTTATAACATACTAATATAAAATACTATAGTATAATATAAATTATAATATATAGTATATAGTACAACAGTATATAGTATAAAGTGCAGTAATACTATAGTATAAAAGTTTGCATAAAATTCACTTAAATTAATTGATTAATTTAATTTAATGAATCGATATCAAGTGATCAGAAACACAATTTTTTAAAATCCATACAGGTCACTCTATATTTGCGGGAATTATTTTCTCAGTGACTGAACTACTCTGCTCCCACGAGCCATCTCCGAAGTAGTTTCTAAAGTACGATGTGGCCACTCCTCCGCTCTGCCAATTATTCCCTGCCACACGTCGGGCACTGATGGAGCAGCCCGCGAGAGAAGAGGCGTAGGGACATGATAAATCTCCCTCGGGGGAAAAACTAGCCGCCCAAAAATATATGCACGCCGGAGATGGATGGGTGGAGTGCAAGGGCGGTGCCCGGGTATACGCAGGGAGAGTTTCGTCTCAGTTTGTTTCTTGGGACTCCTTCTCCGTAACCTGGTCCCTTTCTCTCCTCCGTCCCTTGTCGCCCTTGCGCACGGCGTGATGTCTTTTTGTGAATTTTTTGGCGATCGACCGATTAGGGGAAGGCGGCGCTCGTCAGTCAACTCGGTGAATGAATCTTCGGCGTATGCAGATATGCGCGTCGCCACTCTTGGAACTAACTTAAAAAATAAAATTGTATGCGCGATAAAATTTAACAACGCGTTCGACACCGCAGCAGCTGCACGTTGAGAGCGCGCGTGATGTCTTCCATCTGGATGCTGAGCTAGTGATTAATAAGATCGTCGTCACGATCATTGAAAAAGATATTAAAAGACTCTTAAAGTGTTAAGTTTTCTTATACGAAAGATTCGAAAAGTGATAATCTCATTATAAATTCTAATGAATTAAAAGGAAACGATTTTTATACATATATGACATAGAGAAAACTAAATAAAAATATATATATAAACTAGTTTAAAGATGTTTTTTAAACAACCTATATAATTCTATACGTTAGAGTTAGATACAGTTTACAAGGCCAGTGTTTGAACATTCGCGCTGCAGTCCTAGCAAAATATTCTCCTTTCTCCATGTATCTTTCATCGTTGCTTCCGATACACTAATTTCGGCATGTCTTTACAAATGAAAGGCTTCGCTGCGTCTGCATCGTTCCGTAGCAGCTTTTCAAATATTTATTATTTTCGATGCCGGATGTCCTCCAGCCGAAGCTCGAAAGGGTACGACACTACGGAGGCACATTTTCCTTCGCCGCGCCGTTGCGAACCGCTAATGCATATGCAGCCACATCCTATACGAGATATGCCGGCGGTCGTTTGAAGTCTGAACATGTTTGAACAGCGGTCATTGTCTTGTCTTCAGTTTCTTCGTTTTCTGTTCTTCGTCACTGCCGCTACTGCCTCAGCACAGCCATCTTGGTTCAGATAAGAAACGAGTCAAGAGCCATGCAAAAAGCATTTTTTACGACTTCGAAGAAGAAACGTTTCAAGCAGCGATACGTTATCGCGCGCAGATTCATGATAATGAATGAATATACCACGTACGATTGCAATCGGTTTTTTTTACATTGCAGCAATTTTACTGCATTAAAAAATAGATGAACAAGAGAGAATCATTACTATCTGATTCAATTAAATATATAATAGGAAATATCGCAATTATATAGTGTCGGAGATTTTTGAAAATTGCTTGAAACATCATCATAAAATCGCTTAACTCTACCAGACACAAAGCACGTCTTATTTCGTGACCTAATATTTGACTTTCGCCACATTGGACCATAAGTCCTCCACGTTCGACTGCCGCCGTTTGTTTGCAGTCTGCTTTCGGTTTCGGCTCGCGCCAGGTTGATTTAGGATTTAAGGATTTCGACGTTTGTTATTCGACGATCACGTGGATAAATATACTTGAGATGATTCCTCTATTTAAGCAACCGCGGGTGGGCTCGCCTATTATTCGCATAGAACTTGGTTAACTACTTGCGAATTCGCGTAGACAAGTCTATCGAATTAAAAATGAATAAAATATAGAAATTTGTTAAATATATTTAAGAACAATTTATATATATATAAAGAAAAGATCATCTCCGAATTTTTTCAAGAATAAGATAATATATTCGAATTCTGTATATTATATCTATTATTATTTTCCTAAAAGATTAAAAATTAAATTTTAAACTAATTTGATCACTGATAGTTCAAATATGCGAACAAAGAATTCGATTCTTCAGACGGAAGACTTCGAGCCTAAGACATTCGGTCATGAGGAAAAAGGAAGATTCGGAAGTTCATCGAAAGAACCGGTGGTATCGTCTGTTTGGATAGTCTTTAACTGACCATTACACCTGAATGGGCCGCTTCAAAATGAAAAAGGGCAGCCTGATCCTTGATCCGACCGGCCTACTTCCTGTGGAACCCGAATGGGTAGACCCCAGAGACCAACGGTCAATGGTAATAATGACGAATGTTCTCTCACTATGATTCCCGACGAGCCGCGTGTCGTTTCTACGTTTCCAACTGGTCTTACCTGATCTCCTTTTAAGCGTATTCGCTCGACTCTTCGGGAACACTCGAAGAATCAACAAGACGCGCAAGAATCTCGGATCGCGTGATCGCAAAAAATCGTATAGTATAGTGTCTCACCAACCGCGAGGCACGATTTTTGATCTTCCAAGAACGATTCGTTCTACTCTTATGAAGGAAATTCACATCGCAGAATTGGCTTTAATGTAACAATGTTACATATGGCTGATGCTTTTGACCACATTTACCCATTATGATTTTTACGTGATTACTGTGTCTTTCTACCGACAGTGCACGTCAATGGGAACGTCGTTCACTCCCAAAAAATAATGTAAAACAATACACTTAAGCGCTTTTTGTGCACACAGTCGGTCACGTTTGCGAGTGAGAACTGCAATTTCGAAGTAATGACGAACATCCGTTATGGCGCGTAGATTGTCGCTATTATCGTTTACTGAAGATATAATGTTGTATCGAGAGCAAGTGATCCTTCTAACCACAAACCACATTCACCTTGAGTGTATTAAAGTATCCAGCATCAACTATATACTGAGATAGAAAATTACGACCTTTAAAAGTAAAGCCACTTTTGCTTAAATTATATGAGTACACATTATTTGCATACTGTGTAAAAGAATAAAATATATAGTAGAGACGTCGATAGAGTAAAGTAATAATAATTTTATTCGTTAACTTAATTCTTTTTTTATTTATTTAATTAGTCTAGCATTTGATATACAGAAAATAATATAGAATAAAACAAAAAAATAATAAACGTGCCGAGTTTATAAATACAATAATTTTGCAAATCTTAAGTGCAAAGTATTATGTGCTCCTCGTAGCAAACAACTTGTCTCATCCATCATTCCAGCAAGCTGCAACCGTCGCTGCTCTGCTTTCGTCGTCCAGGGAGTTGTCGGGTTTTAAAAGAGACAGCTCAGTGACATAACACGTCTCGTAAAGGAACACGTTCAGTGCGCGACGAAAATGCGGAGGCCGCTCGAAGGTATAGCATCTTTTCTGCTCATATATATGAATTCATCCTTCTTTCTGCAAATCGAAGGGCCGATCTACTGCCCTTGTACAACACCACCGGGCATTGTCGTTTCCTTCCCTTCCAATCGCTTGGGACTCGCTTCCAAGGAATTGTTCGAGCACGAAGAAACTACGTTGTAGCATGGTGGGGGACGTGAGTCGTGTGGCCGTACGCGTGTTTACTTAGGATCATCCCTCGGCCACTGGAATAATTCCGGAATCCCGTGCAAATCTCTGCGGCAGACCGGATTATAGTATGAAAATCGTTAGTAAAACGTGCATTAGGCAAGGAATTAAGTTAAGGCTTCAAACACAATGCTCCATTTTTCCCATTAAAAATCTTAAAAAATTTATTATTCATAAAATGCAATAATATAAAAATCAACACATCTATCTCGTCCCGTATCACGATTTTTATCATTAGGTTGATGAGATTGGGACTAATCGACTTCCGCCAATAAATCAGCCATATCAAGCTAAGCTGCGCTTGTAACCCGATAACTGTACCGCCCTTTGCAGTTCCTGTTTGTTGTCGATACCGTTGGCTCGGTGTTCCCTTACAAGTCTCCACTTGCTGTCCAGAAGTTTGCCGGTTAGTTGGAAACGGGTCTCGAAACCGCTTGAAAGTTCCGCTTGTAGTTTCTCCCGCTTCGCTCGACACAAAGAACGCCAACTGTCGCCAACAGAGACACTGTCCAGATCACCACTGCCAGTGGTTCATTAAAAATGTTGGACCAGCACTTGCGGCTTGGTCCACCTGGTTTCCTGTCGTATTCCAGTCGATAAATTGATGCTCGGTGATGACACTTTAAACGAGTGCTATCATCAAGAAAATTATTAGATTATACACATATATTTACAATGAAGATATTATGTTAACTTACATAAGTTCGCATAATGCTCATACTATAATTCGCGTTTGCATATCTCACAAATGTTTCTATCACAACATAAAACAATATTGGCAAGTGCTTGAATAAAATATATCACAGGTTTATTGAACGAATGTAGCGATATAATGTCTTCTATTGCAGAATAAAGCACTAAACCAACATCGTCATTAAGCCGTATTGACGAGATTGTGTTATTACAGAACCTCGTTTGAGGAGTATACAGCCAATTTCGGAACGATTCATAATGTTGTAAAGCCATTCAGGTTCCGAATGATTTGTCTGTGCACGAGTGCATGCAGTTTCCATAGAAGTGCGACGCTCGTATCTTTTACGAGGTACCGTGCCATTCCGTTTATGGCAGATCGAGCAATAAAACGGAATCGCAAATAGCAAAGTGCCAGAGCAAAGTGTGCAAGGTAAATGAAGCTGGCATATCGTCCTTGTGTCTCGAACACAGTACGAATTGCAATGTACATGGAAATCGCCATTGTCTAAATTGAATCCTACGTACTTCAACAAATCAAATTGTACGATTATATGGATGTTTCAATGATATATATTATATTACATAAAAACATTAATGTTAAAAAGATAATAATAAAATACCATATTACACAGCAATATAAAATTTAAAGCCAATCATAACAAAAATGGATGATAGAATCGAAAAGAATATTAAATAATCTATGATGAAATCATATATATTTCATCGATTATATACTAACTCAATATGCGCGTTGAAAGCACTTTGAGTTAGTGTACAATCTGAATACTAAATTAGACTTGACGTAGGAGTTATTAATCGTTAGAGAAGTTACTCAGCTTCTAGTAAGCGATGGTAATTATAATTTAAATTTGCATAGCAATGAAGCGTGGCCTTTGTAGTCGAGCGGCTTTGTACTCTTGATCGCATGGTTTGCGCGCACTTGAAGCAACATCATAGTTATCGCTTGTTCACACTCCGTTATCGTGCGCATAATTTTCGAGAACGGCGCCGTAGGCTGCACGCGCCCGTTTTGTTTTACTCGCACGCCGCACGTGTTCGCCACAACTAAGGTCTCGTGTGTCCTTTCCAGAAAATAATACGTCCGTTTAACTTCTTACGGTCCGCGGTGTCCCATATCCAAGCTGGAAGGGAAGTAGGTGTTACGGGGTGTGCCCGATCTCGGCGAGAGCACGATGTTCGAGTAACCGTAATAAAAACCCTCGAATAGAGAAGATCGCGTAAGGGTAGAAAAACGTTTCACTTGCTTTCCGCCTGCAAAGATTCGTGGGCGTTAGTGGGCGGGAAGAAGCTCTCGGCAATACACTATACAATACATACTATAAAGCACGGAGTTTATATTCGCAAACGTATAGAGAAACTCACGGAAAGCGGAGCGAGGGTATCCGCGACGTAAAAATTCACTCCCCGTTCGATCTGAGACAAAGCGGGGATTTGCATAATGGTCTCGACTCTCGAGGAAATTTACCATCCCCGCGTGTGATCGGTATAATATACTCTTCCTGACATTTTTTGAGACGTCGATGCTACGAAAATACACGGCTTCGAGTATCTGGTAATCGTATACTGCGCGATGAACACTTTTACCGGACTGAAAGAGGGAAGAAAAAAAAAATTGTACCGGCAAAAGGACATGTCTGTACGTTTCACGTGGCTTAACTGCTAAGGGTAGTTAGACGAGTCGAGAATGCATTCAAGGCCCGGAAGTGGGCGGAACTGCAGCCTGCGCTTCAGCATTGTACACAAGGACTCGATTTTTCCTCGCTCATGGGTCGTCCTGTATTATGTGGGGGGACAGAAAGAAGGAGAGAGCGAGATAGTACGTCTCGAAGCACCGGAGGCACCAAAAGGACATCCGATATCCGTAAATGCCGTAATAACAAGCGCTGCGTTATCCTCGAAAAACTTCAATATCTTCTTTCGCGAATCAAGCAGATGGAAGAAAATCTCTACGGAGAGCATCCGTGTTTTCAAGAAATGACATCATCGCGACGATACCAATGCCGACGAGATTTTTTAAGTTTTAGCATGTATTAAATAGAAATTACATACGACGAGACAATGGTGCGTTAAATTAAAATTTTATGCGCAAAGTGGCGCCTGTTCCTCGTTTATTATACTGAAATAAGTAATGGCTTAGTTTATATCGAGTAGTCAATCAGAGGCGTCGGGGTGATTACAGTATGCAAAAACCAATTTCTCTTCCAGGTGCGGGTATGCTACCGTGCTACCGATTGGCAGAAAAAATATTGCAAACAACCTTGATGTTATATTCAACCGCCATAAAAAGCCAATTTCGGATACAATGGACCTCTATCGAGGGAAGGCAGATCATCTGCCGTTCGATATACGCGGAGGAGGTTCTCTATCTGCAAGGAACGCGATCGAGGCTTGATTAAAAATGAGATTGCGGCAGCGCGATTTCAAGGTGGAAGATTAGACCGTGCTTCTTATTTGATTTGCAATTCGATATTTTTAGGTTCTTTTTAGGGTTCGAGCACGGCGCGGTCTCGAACCGAGGCATGATTTCGTAGAACTATGACGATCTTGCGGTTTGATTGTGCGAGACCTGGAGAAACGGATGCTGTAACAATGACTTCGAATCTCCAATATGTTCAAGCTATTCGATGTTTCGCATACTTCTATTGTTTGACAATTTTGTCGAAATTATGCAGCAAAGAATATCATACTAGAAGAACTAATTAATGTTAAAAGAAAAAATACTAATTAATATTTTATAGATATAGAATTATTATTCTTAATATTAATATTTCATGAAGAATAGAAATTTTGTATCAGAATAGTATAAAGTGGAGGATTTTCTCGGTATTCTTTGACACGCGCATATATTGTGACAGAAGTATTGACGCGCTGACAAAATACGGTCGGCTGCGCTCATTTTGGATGCGCGAGTAACGGCGAGCCAGATAATCTCCGAAGCTCATTTCGAACCCGTTTCTTTATGCCGATGCTGGTGAATGGTTTCCCGCAGAGCGTCTCATTGCGAACTGCCCGTGCCGAATTAGAGCGGACATTTGGAGAAAGGATTTACTTTAATTCGCGCATAGAGTTGCTACGAGTACACTGTTGTCCGTTGGCAGGACAATGCCAAAGAGTAATCCGGCGGGAGATAAGTCTATCTCGTTTTAACAACGATTCGTGTCCTTTCAAGTGCCGTCAAGCTTCAGTCGGATTCACAGGAACCTGATCACCAGGAACCTCGTTCGACTCTGTGCGATTTAACGAGAAAACTATTTTAGAAGCTGACGTCGAAACCTCAAAATTCTAGCCTGTTAATTATATTCTAACATAATTATATATTTATGTGAGATTTAATATACGAGGGACGTTTAAATTTAAATTATAATTTAAATGCCCCTCATATATGTATATATATTTAATTGTTATATATATATTTACAACATATATATATATTTTAAATATATATTTTTTATGAAACTGTTTATTCCAAAACTCATTTAAACAGATACAATCTCGAGAATTCGTATTATCTCAATATTTCAAATATACAAGTTCAAAAAAATCATGCGGTTCAGTGGCAAACTCGGAAAACCATAATTATTGCTGCACCATCAAATACTAATTATCTGAGACACACGCCTTCCCGAAGGCGTCTGGTCGTCACCTACGATGCCAGCTTTCGCCGTTAGAGGCGATGATTAGAAGGCGCCTTTCTCCAATTAGTTTATTTCCAGTTGACCGTGGCCTCTCATTAACGTAGCTCCAGCAGAAAAGGGCAAAAAGTGCCTTCTGCTGATAATTAGCGGCTGCAACGCGTGTCGAATTCATCGAAGACTTCAACACACCGATTCCGCGTCCCTTTTTCGGTAAAGGGGTGGAGTTCTGGCAAAGTTTCGACGAGATTAGCCGGAATGACTGGACTGCGTGACTCGGACGCCATATGTCCCCATGAAATCTCCGCGCAAAGGTAAGGTGTTTGTAAGCCGAAAATAATTAACGGAATCAGGCGTGAAGTCGTCATAAGGCAAGGATACAGAGTTGGCGCCAATTTGCGAAATGGACTTTCAACCTCGCCACAGGAGATTTGGGATCCTCCCGTTGTCCAGATGTCGTAGTCCACACGGAAGGTGTAACCTAATAGACAGTGTCTTCTGCTGGCAGATCTACAAAAACGTATTGATTAACATAAAAATGTACAATACTATTAAGAGACTTTGATGAGTAGTTGAAATCTGGTATAAAATAAATAACAAAAATAATAAAAGAAATAGTGTATGTAATAAATATAAAAATACATGTATAAAACTTTTTATACGCGCAAAAAGCAAAAAATCGATTTATTTCCGCCAATTCTAAAGCTCCGTTGAATTAGTATCTTACATCCTTGACACCATCTGGATTTGAGTCGAAGGAAGACAATAATAGACGAAGAAATACAAAGAAATATAACAAGGAGAAACTGTTGAGCGACAAATTGGCTGCGAACCAATTCCTTCGATGCCACCAACAGCGCTAATTTGCTCATTACATCTTTGAAAGCATCGAGAACGTAACGTCGTTATCACCTGCTTCCGTCATTTCTGAATGATTCCATTGACGGGCCCAAGTCTTTGGAAGTCACCGCGACGAAATTTCGATGCCCGCCAGGCTGACCCCTCCAGCACCAAGCTTCCGGTTCGCGCCAGATAATGATAGGTCACGAATCTGAAAACCATAGTTCCGGACGGAGGGGAGAAAAGACCCTCGAGACTTCCATTATGCCACTATTTCACCGCGAAAAATCTGACCTGCTAACGTGCGATAGATCGAGGGCAAATTACGTGCCCTCTCGCAGGGATGCATACACCTGCTTCTCTCGCGAGAGAAGGGGATGCTTCTGTAGATTCTTTATTTAGTGAGAGGGAGGTTTCTCATGCGTTCATCAATGACTCATTCTCTAGCTTTACGCATACAATAGAATACACTTCTCCAAATACCTAAACGCTAAAGAATTGACGTCTTTACAACAATTTCTACTCGTATATTATTTTAACTTGCAGTCAGTATTTGCAAATTGGGATAATATTATTATCGGTATAGTTATATGGTTTTTATAATTACTTACGATACACACATATACAAAAATAGCATCGTCTTTCCCCGGACATTTAGATGGGATCAACCGACGCGTCGTTTCGCTCGTTTTTATTAGACTCTGTCAAAAAGCGAGCTTTTACTGCCGAAAATCGATGATTTGTTCCCGACGAGCTCAGCAGGGCAGCGAGCCAACTCGAGGCGAGCGAATCTCATGTCTGTCGATGATTTACACACGCCCACGTAACGAATCTATTAATTATTTATGGACTTGCAAAATTTATTTGCAGCACGCCGCGGGGAACCGCACTGCCCTATGCCCCCAAGGCCCTTCCTTCGGAATATGCGCTTAGCATAATGGCGATTCCTTTACGTGCTCTTATAAAGCTCAGAACTCATTCCTCGCCTCGAGCGTGTGTTATCCCCTTTTTAAAGGCAGGATGCGTCATATTAAAACGGCAGGTCGTTTTCATAAATAATTTTTAGTCACAATATCCTTATCTGGCGTTATTCGAGAATTATACTAATTTAAGCGCACTAATTCAATGCTTTTATTACGAAAGAAGTGGAAATGCGCGTTAAGCGTAAGCCATTAAGCACGAATGCGAAGCCATATGAAAGAAGAATGAAGCAATTAAGTCGGTAGCGAAAAAACGGTGAGAGGAGATAGTATTTAAAAGCAATTCACAGTAAGCCAACATCACGAATGCCGGCGAATTCTTCAGGAGAGATCTCGGCACGACAAACGATCACACGCCCATTTGACGAAAAAGTTCACTCATCGAGTGCAACGGCAGCGAAACGTAAGATGCACTTTTCTTGCCCGATGCTCCACCTTGGCATTTATGGTGTGACACGCCAATTGCCGCGGCAGATGTCTGACGTAGCGGCGACATTCCGTTTCAGTGACAATTTGACGTCTACGGAATTCCGAAATTACTTAGTTAGCAGCTCCGTTACAAAATGCATCGCAATGTTTGTCGGTATCGTTATACACAATTCAAAAATTAAAATAACGATACGTACGTTGAATCTTTAATGTATAAACGTAAATTACACTAGCAAAAAATATAAAATATACAGTAAAGTTTTAAAATATATAAAGCATTGAGAAGATCACATTATTTTCCGTTTCAATATTTTCGATTAAACTCAAGGAAAACCGCACAAGTATTCTTTCGAAGAAATCGCTTAAGTCTTGTAGACTGTAATTAATTAATCATTGACGAATAGACACGTAGCAATTTAGTCTGTCAAAGCTTAAAATACCTTCGAATTTTCGAAAAATATGTTTGTGCAAACAGAAAAAAAGAAAATATATTTGTAATATATATTCATAAATATAAATATTTATATATATTTTATATAAAAATGTATTCATTACACTATTAACTATATTAAATTAATAATTTAAACGCTGTCTCATTATATCGTAGCGCAACAAATTATTTTAAAGATTATCGATCTTTATTACCTAATATTATTACGCACCTTTTCTTCATGACGCTTCTGATATTTTAGCGAAAAGAGATAATTCTTGTTTGGCCTCATTAGGAAATCCTCGTCACGTGCGAATCCGTAAAACGGCAAAGTGACTCCAAAAGCAACAGCGTTACTTATGTACCGATATAATCGCTAAATGACGCATCATACTACCTCGTTTGCTAGCACGCGCGTCTACGTGTTTCAATTACAGAATAATTATCATGCCTGTCTGGCGCTGTGAAGTGCGCGGCTTAGTTTGAACGACGTTCCAAGATGTTGCCTTTGATGGTTCGGCTGGAGGGAAGCCGGCAGTTCAGACCCATCGAAAGGCAACCGGTTAGACTTGGAGGTACTTCGGGCCTCTTCCGAAGCTTTAACCAGCAGGTTTGCGCAATCGGGTAGGATTTTTGAAATACGCAAAACCGTAGACTGCGATGTTGAGACCTTGATAGGCAAGCGAAACATGCAATTTCTCATGAAGAAAATGTACTCGAGCAGTATTTAAACATCAGGGATATACTTTGTTCTTCGTTACACGCGAAGTAGATTGCGAATATAAGATGAACGTTGCGATTAAGAATTTTTTGCGTGCGCGGCGAAAATCGCGGACGAACCGGTACGTGACGTAAATCACCGACGAATTTTCTGAACGAAATCGCACACATTCGTCAGGTCTACTCAAATTACCCAATGAGGCTGAATCAGGCCGTCGGTTTTTCTTCGCGGATTTATCGTAGTATCGGCGGCAAGAGAACCGCAACAAAAAGCAAAATTGCCGTACTTACAAATGATGCGCCGAAACGAGCGACAAGCGGGCACCTCGTCTCGCTGAAAAACTCTTCGGCCGCGTGATCAAAGGATCGCTTTCGATTCTCGTGTAAGAACATAATTTACTGTAGTTTTCCTCGCTGCCTACATGCTGAAATCTCTCACTGTTTCTTTTATCGAATTATTTATATGACGAGACACGTGCATATCTTATATGTTTATTTTTAAAAATGAAATATAATGAAAGCAATTTTATGCAAACCTTTAAATTTAATAAAAGCGTGATGATGATTTGTAATAGAGGTATTTACCTCTTTTATTGATAATCCTTTCATAACCAGACACAGCTGTGTGTGATGATTGAATAATTAATTATTCTCATCGAACGATTTTAGTCACCTGTAGCAAATTGTAGCAGCTCAAGCATCAATATCGACATAATGCTTCCATTTAATCACAATATTTTAACATAATTACATGTAAATTCTCAACCTGACCGCGTTGTGTGACGGCAACGAGCGAACCGGTTTCAATGAGATGACGTTAATTAACGGCCCGTTAATATAAATTGTTCGACATAGCGACGCGCAACTCGAAAACATCGCGATACGCGAACCAACAGAATTTCAATTTAACGGAACGTAATCGTCCAAAATCTCATATGTTATCCGTGTGCGTGACAAGTAAGGATCATTAACGCGGCGACGTTTAATAAGTGCTCTCATTAATTACCTCCGCGCCGCACAGAATGCCACCAACAAACCGAGCCAGATATTCATTGTATGAATGGTTGAAAATCTGGGCTCCGCTAAAATTAATTATTTTCGCAAAATGAATTAAAAACAAACACATACATAATATTTTATTTTAAAAGATTTTACGTAAAAAGATTAAAACTCACACTAATACTTCAAACAAAAGCCCGAAAAATATCATAATAATTAATTATTTTTATACAAATAGTAATCTTATATATTAATAATTTTCTTTTATATAATTAATATATTGTGAAATAAAATTCTGACCTTATTTTAATTTCAACGTTAATTTTCTCGCAGCTGATCACATATTGTCAATGGAATTTAAACTCTTCGATCATGAAAAAAACCGATCACCGACCAATCTGGATAAATGCTATTTTTTGCTCAACACCCAGTAATACCTGCAGAAGAATGATACCGCGAATGACGGGCAACCGCATTAATTCTAATTAAACGGCGTCCATTCGCACGTCTGCGTTGCTCGGTGCTCCGATTGCCATCGAATGTGTGAGGGGGATCGAGAGGGCAATCGACCTGATCCAGAAGGTAGGCGAGCAACTTTCACGCGCACGCGCTATGGATCTCGTTGCGCGTGCCTCTCTCTTCTGAATCTTCGCGAGCACCTGCGTCGCGTTGCGTGACTGTCCTCTCTTTTTTTTCCTCCCAATCACGACCGCACGACCGCGATTTAACGTCAGACTTTACGACTGTCAATGCGCATCTATAGAGTGCTCATCAAGTACAAATAATTGTAAAATAATTAGGTCATAAGATATCTTTTAAATACATATGTGTCAAACATAAAATCAATCGTGCAATTTACTCTCGTACTTCAACGTTCAGTGTATTATTATATCGCGTTATATTAGCATAAAAAAGATATAATAGAAAATATCTTAGAAAGAAAAAATATACGTGCGAGAGAACAGGTGCAAACTATAAAATATAAATTTATTCCTAATTATAAAGATGATTTATCGCAAATAAGTGATGGATCATAAACACATGCTTGTATAAAAATTCAATCCATATTGATGATTCCCTTTCTATATACAAGAAATATCCTTACAATATTCTTCCAGTCACAAGTTTTACTACACCCCGTATACGGCGAACTCGTTATGCCAAGAATCACGAGGAACCGTGTTTTGTATATAACGTATGACGCACTGCTTGCATTCATTAAGTTCGTATTTGCACAGGTAATCGTACGTGGGAGCCATTACCAGCGATTTTTATTTATTTATTAACCGTATAACCTGAATACATCAGTCGCGGATTTTTTTTAACACACGGGGAATGTACGC